CGCTGTAGTACCATAACATAATCCAGACATTAATATCAACAAAGAGGAAAGATAAAACTATACTCTTAACAGTCTTTTCTCGTTGATTATACTCTATTCACAAAGCAGAAGAAAACATAACTACACTTTCACTAAACATTTTACACACATTTTACTTACATAACAGATTTCACTGGGAAAAAAATAAAAGACTGTGCGTGGAAGGGAACAAAATCAGTCTAGATTTGACTTTCAGGAAATTCTTAAAAAAAGAAGAAAATAAATAATCAAAAAAATAAATAAGTAAATAAAAGTCATACAGATAAGTGGAATTAGTAAGCGGCAATAACAACGACAGTGATAATAGTTGAATCTATAGTATTGATAATAATAATAATAATGGTAACAATGATTATAACTAAAATAAAAATAATGTTGGTGATACTGATTATAATAACGGTAATAACAATAATAATAATGACAATAACAATAATGATAATAACCATATCAATAATAATAATAATAATAATAATGATAATTATAATAACGCTAATAATAACTATAATAATAATGATAATTATAATAACGCTGATCATAGCAATAATAATAATGATACTAATAAATACAATGAAAATGATAATAATTATTATGATATAAATAATAATAGTGATTATAATCATATCAATTATAATAATCGTTATAATATTGACAAAGATAATTATGGATATCACTACCATAAATAATAATGACAAAGATAATAATGATATAATATTAACGACGGTAATGATGATAATAATGATAATAATAGTAGTAATAATGATAGAAATAGTAATAATAACGGGTATATTATCATTATCATTAATAATAATAATAATAATAACAATAATAAAATTAAGAAGGGTAGTAGTAGTGATAAAAGTAATAGTAACATTAATCCAAAATGATAGCAGTGATAATGATGAAAATCATACAAACAATAATAATGAAAATGATACAAATAATCATAATCATAACAATACTACTGATAGTGACAACGACAGTAATAAGAATAACACCGATAGCATCAGTCTATCATACGCAACAGAAAACGGCCTGAGGATTTGGTCACGACTGCTTTGAAAACGTACTCGACGAGGAACAGTAAATCGGCGGCGTCCTTCGAGGTGAGCGTCCCTCGAACTTTCTCGAGACAAAAAGAGCGACTAGAAAGCAAGTCCTCGGCGTTTGTGCCCAGCTGGCTCGAGGGGGAACCTACTAAGTCGCAGGTGGCGGTGGTCCTTGGGTGACTTCGTGGCAGATCTCCACGAAGGCTGGGTCTCGCATGACGTCGTGAATCATCTCTTTTAACATGAAGTATCTGGGGATGATCGGGTACATTTTGCTCTCGACGTAGTCATCCTGGAGGCGAGGGAGATGGACTTAGACGGGTTTTAATATGGTGTTATTCATTTGCTTTTTGATTAATCTTTTGTTGCGTGGAAGAGCAGGTTAAGTAACATCTTTTATCGTTGTATTTCATTTAGTATTCATGACATAATATTAATGATAACAGTGACAAATAGAAATATTGGTGAAAAAAGTCTCATTCATCTAATAAATAAATGGAATCATTAAAACGATATGGGAAAACAAGCGCCCAATGATTATTGAAGCACAAAAAAATCGACACATGATACAACAAAAACAAACAAACAAACAAAAAACGAATATGTTTGGCAATGACAAGTGTTTTCGTATAAGTATAATATGTATCTGAATGTATTTATTTCAAGATGTTTAACTCCCGTTATAATTCCACCTGAACACATCTGTATGTATTTTATGTTTGTATCTACATGACTACTCTGATATTTTGTGTGTAAACATTTCTAGATATATACTATTACAGTATACGTTAATATACTTGTATCTGACCTATATTGCGTTCTTATTTACCTCATATTAAACACCTGGGAGGTATCTACTGATTACAAGGAGAGACAGAGATGGAGGGAGAGAACGAGAGAAATAAATACATAAATATAGAAAGCTAGTTGGATTGATGGAGGAGAGAGAGAGAGAGACAGACAGGCAGACAGATAGACAGACAGACAGACAGCCAAACAAACACATAGACACTCAGTCAGATACTAAGATAAAGACAAAGCAAGAACAGAGAAAAAGACAGATACACAGACAGACAGAGAAACGTACAGACAGAGAGAGAAAAAAAATGTTTGGGGTAAAGGAGGAACGGAGAGAGGGAAGAGCGACAGAGAAGCATAATCATATTTTGCCTCACTCTTCCCTCCTTTGTTTTGTTTCCAAGAAAAAACAAACAGACGGAGACACGAGGAATGAAAAGTAAAGAAAAAAAGACAATATACAAAAACCGGACGATGGAGAGTGAAGACGATAATGAAGGGAAAAGTCACCTTCAGTTCCCTCATGAGAGTGCGTAGTGAAGAGTATTTCCTCAGCTGCCTGTAGAGTTCGTTGGTCAGCATCGTGTTCTCCTCCAGAATCTGAGACGTTGTCATCC